GACAGACAGAGCACAGAAGAGACAGAAACAAAGCAAATCAACTTAAGATGAGAGTTTCTTTGACACCAAGGCCCACAAGAAGACAGAAAGAGCACAGAAGAGACAGAAACAAAGCAAATCAACTTAAGATGAGAGTTTTTGACGCCAAGGCCCACAAGAAGACAGACAGAGCACAGAAGAGACGGAAACAAAGCAAATCAACTTAAGATGATAGTTTCTTGACACCATGGCCCACAACAAGACACAAAGAGCACAGAATGGACACAAGCAAGGCAAACGCTTTTGAAAAGAATGGAAAGCACCTGGGAAAATTGACACGGCAACCCCAAAAGTATGAAACCACGCTTTTGGGCAGACAACGCACTGGATCAAGGCTAACCTACTTGAGAAGATGCGAAAACAAGGCAAGCCAACTTAAAAGGCATGGAAAGCATATAAGAAAAACAACCAGGAAACCAAAAAATACGAAGCCAACAACACCAAAATCACATTGGGGCCTAGAGCCAGTTTTTTGCAACAAGGCTCACAAAGACAAAGAACCAAAGGTAACCCATTTAAACAAGATGGAAAGCACCTAAGGCACAAAGAGCACAGAAGAGACGGAAACAAAGCAAATCAGCTTAAGATTAGAACTTTTTGACACCAAGGCCCACAAGAAGACACAAAGAGCACAGAATGTACACAACCAAGGCGACGGAAACAAAGCAAATCAACTTAAGATGATATTTTTTGACACCAAGGCCCACAAGAAGACACAAAGAGCACAGAATGGACAGAAGCAAGGCAAACCCTTTTGAAAAGAATGGAAAGCACCTGGGAAAAAGTATGAAACCACGCTTCACTAAGAGGTGCATGGGAGGCACAAGGAGCACAGAAGAGACGGAAACAAAGCAAATCAACTTAAGATGAGACACAAAGAGCACAGACTGGACACAAGCAAGGCAAACCCTTTTGAAAAGAATGGAAAGCACCTGGGAAAATTGACACGGCAACCCCAAAAGAATGAAACTACGCTTTTGGGCAGACAATGCACTGGATCAAGGCTAACCAACTTAAAAGACATGGAAAGCACATAGGAAAACCAACCAGGAAATCCAAAAATACGAAGCCAACAACACGAAAATCACATTGGGGCCTAGAGCAGCCAGTTTTTTGTCGCAACAAGGCTCACAAAGACAAAGAACCAACAGTCTAAAATTACATTGAGGCTTAAAGCCAGTTTTTTTAGCAACAAGGCTCGCAAAGACAAAGAACCAAGAGTAACCCAAAAAGGATGGAAAGCACCTGACGCACAAAGAGCACAGAAGAGAGGGAAACAAAGCAAACCATTAGTGAACTTGGCCATTTAGAAGAACCGCGCCCGCTCGCTTCTCGCTTTCCGTTGCTTGCCGGACTGGTTTGCAGACTGACGGTATTGAGACCGACAGTAGAATGGGCTTCGGCGAGATAGTATTGAGCGCGGCACTTCTAAGCTGGTCGCCAAAATGTCATACATGTCATATGATGTCATATGTATATACAATATATGTCATGCTACTATGATAACAACAAATCATCAGGGTCTTTGCTAAGCACATGCCTGAATTTTATAGGCATGCTGAACCAGCTGTCATGTGTTGAGTCACTAGGCAGGCACAGAAAAGCAGCTTAATACGAGGCACGAGCTGCAATCCATGCCGATAGTGTGAAGGCCCAAAGGCTCTTCGCTGTATCCTGTTGAGAGCACCGGATGTCTTTCTTGTAAACTTGTAACCGATGGATGGTAATTGGATGCACACCAAAGCTTTGTTACCATCCAGGCAGCCGGGATTTGCCTAGGTTCAAAGCACCCTACCCAGCAATTGAGTTCGAGCTCATGCCTGCAACCTACATCTGAGTGCGCTTGCTTGAACTGCCAATGGCCAGATGGCCTGTTGTTGACTAGCCATAGCGCAGCAGCCATTGCAAGGCTTGGTTGAACAAACAGGATCACAAACAGTCAGCTCAAAGGGCTGCAATGTTACAATGTTTGACCTTTTACAGAGCTCCCGAGATGGGCATCTGCGAAAAGCAGTGTCTTGAGCTTTGAGTCTTACCCTCCGAAAAGCTGTTTGGAAGACATCGTAACCCCCTCACCCCCAGTAGGAAAAATTGTCCAGTCCAAACCTAACATCATGGTAATCACCTAACATCATGCAGGATTCTCTTCCTGACAATGGTGACAATCGGATCCTAGACAAAAGTTCTTTGGGCAAGAAAGGCTCATCGAAGAAAACTGCACTGGCGTTCAATGCAAAATATAACTTTCCTTCAACTCTAACTGTCCCTCAAGCTCTTGCGACACCTGTGCTGGCAAGTAATGAAAAGCGACTGCCAAACGCGAAACCCAATAACGTGACACCTGCATACACAAATGGCTCCATGCAAACATGATGCTGACGCAAAGAGGATGTGATTGATTTCTTTGGAGCTCCCGTTGGCTATCTCAAGCAGACTTGCACACGCCCACCCATGGATCTTGTTGTCTTGTTGGACTCAGCGCTACTTTAGCACATCGACTTCTAGGTTACGGCTATGGTTTGAGAGTCACCTTCGCGCAATCTTTTTAAGCCATCCGAACAATTACATCTAAAACTGAGTGGTTGCCTCTTTGACCACTTTCAGCGATCAGCTTCACCTTATCAAAGGAGGCACAATCACATGTGGACGCTGCAGCACAAACACACAGATATTATACACAAAAAATGTCTCTGGAAGTGCTGTTCTCTACCAATCAAGCTCTATCTCTGCTATGTTACCAGCAGCTGAAGGCTTCCTATACACACTCGCTATCAACAGTTTCATCTTCACTGTCTAAGAACAGAAGGCAAACTGGTGGCTGTTCTTCCCAACAAAGACATCTATTGACCTATGTCAATCTGCGTTCTTTTAACAATCACCTGCCCAGGAAAACCCGCCTCACTGACCTCTTCCGTCTCCAACAATCAATCCTTTTCCTGTCACGCAAATCACAAACTATATTTTTTGAGATGTGTTTTGATCATTTTGAAGAGGTCAGTGTGCTTTGGCCCATTGGCTGTCTCCCAACATCTAAATCTTATCTTGGATGAGCTCTCCTACCAAGCGTGAGCTTGCCAAGGTTTCAAACGACAGCTGCATTCCTGTAGACTAACCTTGTCAAAAATGTGGGTCCGCTGCGTCCAGCACAAGAAACATGCCTCAACAAATCTCCAGCCACTTTGCCTTGGCTATAGGGGGTCCGCCGTCCCTGTGTTCCAGAAGCGAAATCCTGGCCTTTCCTTTTCGTTGTCTCTTTCCCTGAATTGACGGGCTTCATCGCACCCATTGAATCAATTGCATACAAGCAGCTCTACTAGCATGCAGCACTAGTCATTCTGGAGTACGGTGTCAAATGATGTGCCCTGACGGAGTGCATCAGTCTTTGGGTGCTCATTGCAGAGACCAAACTTCTGGTACAAGGGTTGGCCAAAAGTGTTGTCCACGTCCAGAAAGCTGGCTGCAAAGCAGAACCTCATTTCTAGATTTGATGTGGCAAGTCCTGATTTGCACAAAGGCACACATTGATGCAGCCAAGCCAGCCTCAAACTCCAGAAAGCCAGTGTCATTTCCAAGCTAGTGGGTTCTGTCATGACCCAAGGTTTCAAGTCCAAGTACCAATGGAGAACTTGTAGTACTCGGTCTGAGACAGCTCTCTAATTAAAATGCGAGTGTTCAAACAAAAGAAGACGTGTCGAAGGTTTCATGGATCATACCGATCACCGTTTCACGGTTGCACCTTGGCTTTACCTTTGCCTTTGCCTTTCGGATGCGACCTTGGATCAATCTGTCGCTGGGCCATGAAGGCCGGAGAGACCTGAATCAAAGATATGGGGTGGTGATGAGCAAAAGCATATGTTCTCAAGCTACAGGGTCAAAGTCGTCCGGCCCATGTACACATTTGTCGATTCTGAGTCCATAGTCCTTGATTGCCCACAAGCATCATCCGGCATCTCTGTCATGACATGTTTAAGACGAACTATCGTCACTGCAGGTACACAAATCCAGCCGACCTGAAGTGTACAACGTTGAGACCAGTTCTATCCAAACAAGCAAGCTTGATTGTGACACGATAGATCTCTCTTCTTGAGGGCCAAAATCATACCGCCAAATACCGCGATTAAATTAGCATCTGTGTTGAAGTGAACAAATGAAATATGGTTTCTATAAATCGAAGAATTAATTCCTTCAATCTGTCATAATTTGTCTGTGGTTTGTCAATCCACCACAGCAAATGTTACGCACAATTTGGAACCTAAAAGGGCAGGCAAAATGGGCAAGGCCACTGGTTCTGACGCCACTCCGAATATTTAGGCGTCACTTGCTGTCAGCATATTGGGCGGCCCCTGCCCTCACTAACTGACTATTGTCTGTTTGAGAACGACTCCCTGTTCAGGAAAAGCTGAACCTCAATACCGTTTGACATGCAAATTTGGTTAAGACATAGGCTAAATGGCCTGTGGGAGCGGGAGGATAGATGAGAGTTGTCAATATCCTTATAACTTAAGGTCGATTCCAATTCATACATGCTACCAGGCTCAATGTAGCAAACGGACTTCAATACGTCAAAACCCATGCTACTCCTTACAAACAAGAACACAATAAAATATTTAGGATGCACATGGACCGTATCAAGTCTCAAGAACTGGCACTCGGCCAAGCAGCAGAGTGACCAGTGTCCAACAATCTGTAGAACCAAACATGCCAGGAGCCCCTAGTAGCGTTCTTGCTCCTAGTAGTAAGGCCAGGAGCGCATAGTAGCGCATCCGAAAGATTCCGAAGGTCAGATCGCAAAAAACAATCAACACTGGTTGCTGACTCATATGGGCTGCGCCGCTCTTCTGGTCGGTCTTCTGGGCCTTGACTAGCAGAAAAATTAATTGATTGACCAATCATTAACCTCTCTTGAATGAGGAGCTTCTGTAAGATGTTGATAGATGTTGTAAGCTGCAACCTGAACTTTCAGGAACCTCATTTCCTGGATCTGGTCCATATTTCACAATCTTTGGGTACACTCCACTATGGGTCGGTTCAGTTGTGTCAGCCTCTCAGTCTCCCTGCACAGCAAATCAGTGCTCCCCAGCCTTTAAATCTTAGCTTGGGAGGCGGCTTGTCCGCCGCCAACAAACTGTTCATTTGGACTTCCGCATCCCCATTGGTTTTCAACCCATGAGCGTGAATCAAACACTTGACTACCGCACACCTACCGTAGGGAAGCGTGGAACGGTACAGAGCCATCAAAAACTGCGTCGAAATACTGGGGCGACCACCCGGTGGTGGTGGTGGTGGCGGTGGAGGAGGAGATAAGATGCGCCTCCAAACAGCACGGTACCCCGGAAGCTTATGAGTGATGGAGACCTGGCCGGGGGCTTCTGAGGACAAAACAAAAATGGTTGTTGGTTAATTGGCAACCTTTCTCAAGTCCTCGAACTGCCAAGCGAATGCACACATAGAGGCATCAGTGATAAAATAAATCATGTCTTGCTGGTGTTCCCCTGGTGGCAGTTTGCAATCCTGAGGGATCTCGTTCTTTCACCCCGATGCCGAAGCCCGGACAACTGCTTTGGACTGGCTCAACGTTGAGATGGAGACAACTACAACATCTAAATTAGGCCAGCCTACACTTGAGCAGCTTCGAAAACCCCTATTACTTTTTTGTATAATCCAGGTTTGCTTTCGCAAAGCTTTCGCGGAGGTTTCGCGGCCTGCATTCTGGCTTTCGCGGAAGGTGTGGTGTTATGTGGGGCTTTCGCGGCGGCTTTCGCGGCGATTCGCTTTCGATTGGGAAATTCCAATAAATGTGATGAGTTATCCGATATAAGTGTCCTTAGGGTGGTCAAAACTGAACAAATTTCTTTCCGGCAACATCCTGGCACAAGGAGTTGTAGCAGCACCGTTCAAGTATTATTGTTGTCATCAGAAGAGGAGGAAAACTTGCTGAAACTTTTTGCTGGGGCCAGATACCTTTCCCGGATATTTTCGACTTTCGCGGTTCTTTCGCGAGGCTTTCGCGCGGCTTTCGCGGAGATTCGTCTGGGCTTTTCGATTTTCCCCTGAAACACTTGCTCTTCAGTGCTGCTGCTGCTGCTGCTGCTGGCTGGTCTGCTGCGGCTGGCTGGCTGGCTGGCTGGCTGGCTGGCCTGCTGCGGCTGCCTGCATAAAAATATGGTCACCCACATAAACAACACGACATGCACAAGAAATTCGACTTTCGCGAAAGCTTTCGCGACGCTGTTCTTCTGGGGTTCTTTCGCGGGGCTTTCGCGAACCTTTCGCGACCTGCGTTTTGGCTTTCGCGAAAGAATGTGAGATTACAGTTTGCACACTTTTCATCATAGAGGCTTTTGAAGCTGCTCACTTGTCCACCGAACTCTAAGTGATGTTCTTCGATCAGGTTAACTTTCTCACTTCTCCGTCCCTGCCAAGACAAATGAGCCACCAACACTTTGTCGCTCCAGCATGCTTCCCTTATTTTATCTTATTTTTCTTTACAGTATCGCGCTTTCGGGTACCACCACAAGCAAGGCTTCTTCCCACTGGGGCCTTTCTCCGCCGATGGCCTTCCGCAACTTCTTCCGCTGCCCATCACGCTGAGCGAAGAGTCCGGCATTGAGTTGTGTCCAGCTGAGACATGAGGCTGTTTGAAACAGAAAGGAGCGCTCTCAGCGGCGCGTGTTTAAATAGTTTTCAATCAACAACTTTTTGCCAGTGTCCCCTCACAACCTGTGTGAGGTTTGTTTCGCACTGTCCCTTCACCCTTCACCCCAATCTTTGTCAGCAACTTTGCTTTCCAAACAATTTTGCAACGTTTAAATATTGAACAATTGAATTCCCAAGGAAATCAAAAAACACAAAGACACAACAACAAAAACAATTCTGCACAGACCATGGGGGAGGGGGAGAGGGGCAAGTCCTGTCACAATTGATCACAATTGTTTTTTTCTATTTCCAATTTGCGCACTGGAGCTCACAGCGCTCCCCTCTCCATTGAAACCGAACTCTTCAAAACCGATCAATCAAAAGGTGCATGCTTCGAGGGTGGATTGTATCATACTTCGAAGGAAACTTGGAGCACAGGGTTCTGAACAGGAAGTGGAGTGGGTTCGAAAGGGCACAATTAATTGCAGTATACGTACATATTATATATATGTATATATATGGTGTCAAAACATCCCAACATCCAAGAACAAATCGAGGCACGACGCTCATGATTACAGCTGGCGGAACGAGTGATGCTCAGCCATGGCAAAAAAAAAACAGACTTCCGGACGGTGCTCGAAATGAAACTAGTCACCAGCAGCAACTCTATCAGGAGGAACGCCCACACCCATCTAGGCGCCGTACTTACGAAATGCCACAATGCTTACTGTTTGCAACATGTTAAATGTTTTTACTCTGGTCAAGGGGCAAAACCTGTCCGTGAGTTTGCCAACGTTTCTCCGACTCACAAGCCCGTGCATTTCAACAGTCGTTGCATACCACCTGTGCAACCAGTTGAGAATCCGGACCCATGCTGAGGGCGCTTGTGCCATGAGCTGCATCACCCCTTCAGCCTTTGAGGACGCCATCCGGATCTCAAATCTCCACGACAGCTGGAACCTCTCCACCACAATACCCTCTTTTCTTAAGGGCAAAGCATGTAAAGGCTGTTCCAAGAAGTTTGTCACGGTGGTACATTGAAAGTATTTTCTGTATGTCTGTACCTCTTCTTCCTCGAATTGTGCAGGTGGCCTCTGACACATCATGATGGTTCCGAACTTCGTCTGTCCAGCCCACCGCATTCAGTAGCTAGATGTGGCGAACGACCACGCTTGCTCTTTAATTCTTGTGTGTACTCTTCACAATATTGAAAATTGTCTAGTACTTCAGAAGAGTACAAAATCACTTGACTCGACTATGGGCTCACTCTAAAAATATACCTAGTTTTCGGAATCTGAGATTCAGCCGCTTCGTCACCTCCAAAGACTTCGAAGGAACGTCTTGTTCAATCGCACCAATCTCCATAATCTCCAATTAGTGCTTTCGTCGGTATTTGAGATGGCTCAGCCGCGCGTTATTGAGGTAACCAAGTGACAATGGTGGCATCTTACCACCCAAAGAGCTACACTCCCTTTTCACGCTGCTGAACTCCTCAGTTTTGTTTTCAAGCTCCACCATTGCCAAA